TTGAAATAATATACCGCTCGCCAATTGTGCTGAATTTTAATTACAACTAATATTGACCATAGATGAGTATAATATAATATTACAATAATATATACAATATAACATTTTTGTTGTTATCAGGAGACCTTCCAGGCACATAGACCATACGGCCATACGGTCGCACGGCCATACGCGAAAAGGATGAAGGTAGAGAGCCTAGATAATAATAATTATTATATTAATTATTATCTAGGCTCTCTAGATGAAGGTATCAAGATTTAATTTTTGATTGTGTCCATATTTGTATTATTATTATTGATTTGTTAGAGCATTTTCAAAATATTTATTTAACTGTTGTATGTTACCTATATTTGTATTATTGTTATTAATTTGTTAGAGCATTTTCAAAATATTTATTTAACTGTTGTATGTTACCTATATTTGTATTATTGTTATTAATTTGTTAGAGCATTTTCAAAATATTTATTTAACTGTTGTATGTTACCTATATTTGTATTATTGTTATTAATTTGTTAGAGCATTTTCAAAATATTTATTTAACTCTGTTATATGTTACCTATATTTGTTTAATTTTGATTTATAATAAATTGTTCATTTGCTTTGTATTCATTGTATTGTAATTTCATACAAACAAAATACGATGTTATACGATAATATTATCTAGTGATAATATTAATTGTGTGAATCTATAGATCTATAGAATCTATAGAATATAATATGCAGGTATGAAGGGAATTAGTAAACCAATTTTAATTTTCATGTTACGACGTCCAATATGGTATTTTCAAAATTTACATTCAAGATTACTTTTTGAGTTATAGTATAGAAAAACCAAAAAAATGGTAATTACTAATTAATATATTTATTATAAATATTGTTTATTCAGCTTATAAGTCAAGTTGAATCAATCGCACTATCATTTTAATATCTATAACGTATAGACAGGTACAACACATTTTCACTTAATTTTAGAAAATTAAATTAATTAATTTTTTTTAACTAGATAGGTAGTAGATACACTTTCATGTTATTTATCTCCATCTAAATAGTTATTCTACAAACTATCTCTTATATCCATAGATATTTTTAAACGTATCATAATACACAAGTTTTTTGCTTAATCGATTATTTTCGAAATAAAACTGGGAATTTTAAATTTTAACCTTTCGGAGTACTACTACTACCTAGATTAAGTTTACCATCAGAAACCACCCTCAAAGTCTAAATCCATGCTTATAGTTACACAAAAAAAAATATAAATACATTATTGTAAAATCAATTTATTGATTCATCGCTCTGTATAAAAGCTAAAATTCATAATCATATAATAGGTGATATTATACAGTATACACAAAGTGAAAAACGTCAGTAAAATATTAACACATTTTTTTCTACGAATAGTCGTCAATATACTTCTAGTCTATACGTTTGTGAAATTACTTTGATGCACATTGTGTGTATGTTTATGTCAGACAAGGCCGCTGCCCTGTTGGCAATACAGGAAATAGTACATGAGCTAAGCATAGATGTAACTAGGGAGTGGGGGGGGCTTTGGGGGACTAAGCCCTCCCAACTTTGATTGTAGCCACCCAGGGGCGTACTCAGGAATTTTCAATGGGGAGGGTTGAACATTTTGTTTTTTATCACGGGGACTTTGTCACCTCCTTTTTAAAAATATTAAATATAAACATGGTAATGTACCTACTCTACAGAAAATAAATTTCAAAAATGTTTATTTAAAGAACAATATTCCGATTCCGATTGATTAACGTGTTCATGTTTTCTTTTAAGATTATTGTAGGGTTCAATGTATACTTAGAACTTCCAGGCACACTAGTAAAAAATGTTATTATTTTATTTTTATTTTTATTTTTTGACTTTAAGCGTTTATGGAAAAAGAATAAATACTTAAATTTTAATACTATCATTAATATTTTTCAAAAGTATATTAAATTACTATACATTTTAATAATTAATCTGTGTGAAATAGTACAAGTAATTTTAGTATATACCTAATTTAGAAAAAACAATTAATAATTTTGATTAAGGGGGCCTTGACAGTTTTACATTAAATTTAGGGAGCCTCACGACAAAAAAAAATTGAGATACTAGGTTATAGTGTAAAATATCTAAATATAATAAATATAACTAGCTGTCCCGGTAAAAGATCATGTTTTTAATGTTGCATTTCAATTTGAAAACTACATATACATTTTTCACTGTTTATTTTTCTAACATAATTTATATTTATTGAAGAAATATATAAACACATTTTTTGACAAAGGTTGGTTGCTCAATACACAGTCAAATATTAACCAAATATATCATAACGCATTATGTCAAAACAAGAATGATATTCACTTACAAAAGAAAAAAATGAGCAAGGTGCTAAAAACAAGAAAACACCAAAAAAACTTAACAATTTTTCAAAATTAGTTTGAAGTTTATAAGATAACTATTATTGAATAATATTATAATATAAATAATATACCTAATCATAAAATAAAATATGCAAAATATTTTAAACATGTTTTTAGTTTCTTATGAGCACTAGAAAATAATACTCCACTCTACCAGACTACTATTAGAATTAGGAGTAGAATCATAATAGTTTTAATTTAGTTTAAGGATTTTAAGAAGGATGCAAATATCCAAAGAAGTGACTAAATTAAACATAATATTTTTTTCTAATTGATGTCTACTCGATAAAAATATTGCCAATGAATAAAATGCAAATGTAATGTATAATTACAGGCTCCAAATTTATTATACCAACTCAATTAAAAAAAAAACTTTTTATGATTCAATGTTTTTGTAAATACTGACTTCAATTTTAAAAAATATTAGCATTTTAATTCTGAAGTTTTAAGACATTTTGCATTTAACAGAATGAATATACAGGCCTTCGTAGGACAAGAAGCGCGCTCTGGTGACTATAGAACTGTGGTAATATTTTCAATCAAGAGTGTATACGTATAGGGGTCCAGAGTGACGACAACTTATCAATACACCTTGTATGTTTGATTCACAGGCTTCTATACTACACTAGATAAGGAACTCTTATACAATTTACATTGTTACAAGTGAAGCTCAGCTGTGAACGGCCGCCATTTTGTCGGTTGGCAAAACATTTCATTTATTATACAAAATGTATTAGGAATAATATTTTTTTTAACGGTCAAATAAAATAGTAAATGTAAAATGACTTATATAAAATATTTTTTTTTTTTTGTAAACTAAATGTTTAAAAATAATAAAATACGATATAAAATAAATCATAATATCATCTTATTTGTCATATGAAATACCATACAATTGCCAACCGACCTTGAAGCTTCAATTCATGACCGGAGTTCGCTATCTAGTAATATATAGAAATCTGTGGTTTGATTTAAATTTTATCTGGTTATCATAATACAGTTCTTAACAGATAATGCTTGTAATCGTTGTATAATGCATGTTGATATAAAATTGAAAATAAATATATTTGTTTATTTTTTCCTTCTTAAAATTTTTTTTTTAGAAAATTGCTCCTGTGAATTATATTATGTATAAACAAGAACGCACAAAAGTGCATCGGTTAGTAAGGTCATGGGAGGGGTTCAAACCCCACGAACCCCCCCTTGAGTACGCCCCTGTCATAATTATTATAGTCATACTAACTTTTAACTTAATTTGTAAATTTAAATCTGATACATCGTTTAATTTTTTTTATTAACATCTTTGACCAACTATATTATTGTATGTAATGGTCCTGTGTAAAATCATGTATAATTTTTTCTACATAAATTCTACATAATTTTAATCATTTAATTAATTACAACACTTTTTTTATAATTTGTTTTATACACACAAAAAAATATGTTAAACACACTATAATAATTAAACAATATTATAATTTTAATAATTTATTAAACATGATTTAGGGGGGGGGGCACCCCACCTTTTTTTTGTTTGGAAAATGTTAGGGCTGGAGCCCCCCCCCCCCCACCAACTTTAAGGTCTAGTTACGCCTAGGCAGCTAAGTATATCCTGTTGAGTACCGCATTCAGATTCAACGTGCCAAAACGGCAAAACCACTACATTGCTTGGTTCCCTCGGATTCGCAGAATGTAAAAATTGCTGAAAAAATAAAATGGTTTTTTGAACTTTTACATATGATTGTAACAAGCACTATAGTGAATCCGTAAACCGTACTTTAGTCTATAAAAAATATTGTAAAATGTGTGCACTTGTGTCTTGAACGATGCGATCATATAGGTACCTACGTATTATTATGAACGGTAAAATCTAAAGTTGAAAATGTTGAATTGTGTAATAGTGTAAGCAAATGCATTTACACATGACACAGTACTATATTAAAGCTTTTATAAGGTATAGGTAACTGTTATGAAGTCAGTAAGTCACAACAACATAATAAAACAATATTCTCAATTGATAATATTAGGTACCAAATAGGTACCGAAACATGTTAAATGCTCACCATACATATTAAACAAATTATAGGAGTATTATAGCCACGTGTCACGTTTAATAGTTAATAAAAATTAAAATTCGATTGGAAATATAAAAGTAACGTGTATTTATTGTATCTTGTTTCTTTTCTACATTCAAAATGTATCTATTGTATCTTGATACGCTAAATGCACGCGTATCATGTGTCATGATACTTTTTTTTAGTATCTTGACCTACCACGGCTCTAGTACAGTACCTATACTATAGTATAGTATACTATAGTATTCTATAATCTCCTCGGTGATCTTTGCTGTTCTATTTTAGTACACTATTTAGTCTATGGTTCGAACTTGTCTATGGTCTGTATGCATCGGTCATCGGTAATTTATTATTTCACATGATATTTCACAGCATAGACAAGATAGGTAAGGTCTATGACTGTGATATATATATATACCTATCATTACATTTTGATAGCGGAATAAATTATAGAGTTGTCAATTTTGATCTCATACAGCCCAATCGTCCTGGGTGATTATTGACGATGTTTTCGGGCGCTTACAAAAGAGTTTTTGGCCGCTGTGGTGGAAAAACGAACGGGCCAGGGTCCGACGAAGAGTCGTTGTCGGCAAGCAACGAAAGGGCCAAACTGGACATCAGAAGGTTGGAGGTGGGCATCGATCGGCAGAGGTCGGCGGCGGCGGTGGCAGCAGCAGCGGCAGAACGAACAAAGTCGTCGGCGGACCGTGACGTCGAGATGGAAAACAGGTGGCTGGTCCGGAGGCTGTGTAAAGTGGAAGACGAAAATCGTTGGCTGATGAGTAGGCTTCGAATGATGAGGTTAGCGAACCGGAAGCTCGGCAAGCAGCTGCGCGAATCCCAAGCCGAGAACCGGAAGCTGTGCGAATGTAATACCAAGCTCGAATTGCAGGAAGCGAAGCGCGATGTGCACTTAAAGGTTGTAGAAGAGAAATGCGGTATCCTGTCGTCGGTGGTCAACGATGTACGGGCGCTCATCCGATGGAAATAATGTTTTTATAAAACCGGAATCGCACGTGGGTAGAGGAGTTCACTGGTGGACCCACTGGCATATTATAGCGAGGGAGATCAGGGACACCTCTCCTTGCTTGATATTTTTTTCTGTAACTTTTAAATTGTGTAATTTGTCAACAATAATATACAGGTAAACATCACTAGTATGAAACGAAAGAATTGTTAATACCTACATCATGAAAATGAAAAGTGTATGTATGCACTTCAGGGGCCTCGCTACTGCCGAAAATTTTAGCTGAAAATACCTAAAGTATTGACAAAATTAAAGTTAGTTAACGTTGTAAGATTTGAATTCTGAAAAAAAATTTGAACTCACCAGAAAATTGTCTATAGATCCTACGAAACAGTTTTTAAAAACTAAATCTTATATTATTGTGAACACTGAACTGTAATTTAAAACTTGAAAATATGTACTTTTTCGAATTAAAATTAAAATTAATATTAGGTATAAACGGAAAATGTTTCGTAGGATCGACACTCTACAGACATTTTTCTGCTAAATTCAAATATTTTTTCAGAATCAAAGTCGGTCTACGTTAACTAATTTAATTTTGTCAATACAAATGTATGTTTTTGTAAAATTCGTGTAGTGAAATTTATTAAATGGTTATCGAGTTATTGACATGTGCATGCGCGTACGAGAGAGGATACCCGCATTTAATTTCACTCACACTAATAATCATTTACAACTAACACATCATATAGATCCCGGGCGGCTATGAATAGATTATAAATTGCCGAAGTCTTGCCCCTTAAATAATGACCGTAACGAAGCCCCTTAAATTTCATACCAAAACGGACGCACAACACTGTCCGAAAATAAAAAAAAGGCACTTTAGTAACAATTCTAAGTACAACATACTTATCTAGAAACATCGGTATACGAACGCTGATAATGTTGAAAAGTATGATATACCTAATACATTGGTCAAGTGTCCCCCTTACCAATTAATTCAAATATAAAAATCGGGGAAATCGTTCTATCATATCACTGAACTCTAGTTTAGAGTTCAGTGTATCATATATAGTAAGTAGGTGCTGACTGTCGAGTGTAACTCGTCATTGAATAGTTAGGTCACAGTGATGGGTGTGTTAAATTTGAATTCAACAATAAATCATTAAATACGAATAACGATTCTAAAGAGATACGGTTTGTTCATTATGTAACAATTGTTATTTTGTAAAAATTTTAACTTTAAATGCTTATAAAAAAATCGTGTCTACCTAAGTATTTTTGATATTTTTCAAATTCTGTATGAATATCTTACGAGAAACATTGTATTAAATTGTCAAGCTTTTTAAACTCAAACAACATTTTCTTCATAAAAATATTAGAAATTGCCTAAATGTTGCCCCTTAAGTAATGGCCGTAGCAAGCTAATAAATAGTTTTGTAATTATTTAATTGTATTAATTATTTAATGAATTTGTATTTTAAATTGTGAACTCTTGGGTTTAAACTAACCCTTGGAATTAATATGTTCAGTGGGACAAAAATAAAATATATATTTAAATAGTAATGATGTTTCTGATGATGAGATTTTGTCAGATTTATTTATTTTTTTATTTTATTAATTTATTTAAAGTATTATTTTCTTCAAATGTATCATATATTTCTAATGGTGATACTTGTTTTCCACTTAAGAGCAACATTATTTTAGAGTATAGAAATATAAAACAAAATACAATACAATTTAATAGGTAATCATTTAATTAAAATTAATTTGAAATAATATCTAAACCTATTTACAAACCATTTGATATAAACATTTGTTTTTCAATGTATCTTGTTAGATCTGATTTTAAAGAACTTAATGAGTGAAATGTGAAAACATATCATTTATTCATTTTTCAAAATTTCAATATTAGAAAACCAATTATTTGGTTTATTAACAGAAGATATGTTATGAATTATTTTTTGAAATAATGATTTGTGATCATTAATGAGTTCCATCTGGAGAAAAATTTAGTACATATCTTATTTTATTTTAAAATTATCTTTTATTAAATTTAAATTTGGCTCGTTTTATATTATTTTCACTATGCTTGAACCTGACCTACCTTTTGTCTCTTTGGCAATTGTATTGCCAAATAACTATAATATGGATCATCCTAAATTATATTATAAACAATACACCAAACATGCTAAATTAAATAATACAACGTAGGTACTACTATTAGTTATTACATTACAGATTAACAAACCTCTACTTTATCACTTTCCATTTTTCTAAAGGATGTAGAAATGGTAATGCCCCTTTTTTTAGTTGCTATCGCTTTAAGCAAACCTAAGAATAAGAAAGTAATATTAAGTATTAACCATATCAACGTTTTATTGTTTTATTGTTTTATTTTTAAAATAAACTTTGGTTTAAATATAGGCTAAACATATTCTATATTGAAATTTTAATAGGTATTTAAATTAGATAGTCGTTGTACCTCCCCTGGGAGACCTCTATATACAGTATGTTTAATCTGCCTCTTTTTTTTTTTATTTTAACCTATATTTAAAATAAATTGTTCTTATTTTTCTCATTTTTGTAACATATTGAATGAAAACTTATGAACAAAAAAAAAAAAAATTGAATTAGACATAATAGCTTACTGTAAATGGGTTTGTTCCTTCACCTGATGTCCATGTATTATTTAAGTATTCTTTATAAAAATGATTTGAACAAACCCCGTTTGATTTTTTAAATATAATACCTTCACCTAAAGCTACTTCCCACTTTTTTATTTATTCTTCGTTGGTTTTAAAAGTATATAAGTTTAAAAGTATATAAGTATAAAAGTATAAAAGTAAATGGTAATTATATAATACTAAGGTATTTAGGTAGGTACTTTAATTATATAGTAGATACTTAGTTTTCATAATTAATAAATTTACGTGGTTAAAATAAGTTGAGGAGACCACTATAGATAGATGATGCTACTAGTCAGTACATTTTCAATGGCGCTTTAACACAAATAAAACAAAATTAAAAGTAGGTGTATAAAATTCCTGTGTATAGAATGTAGATTATAATTAAAATGTAGCTTGACAAAATACCATACAAATATAAAAAAAAGTGAAGTCATAAAATTATACATAATACTATAATAATAATAGGTTATAATATTAGGTTTTATTTGAGTTATACACTTTTAAATTTCGTACTACACGCAATTTTAGGAGCTGCCATATACACGAAAGTTAATGATAAAATTACCATTTTATATTATAATAATTCACAAAAACAATAAAGATGTGTGTCTATGTTTGTGTGGGCAAGCCCGGATTAAGACATTTTGAGGCCCAGGGGCCAAAGTTTAAATGAGGCCCCTGTACGAAAAAAAAAATAATGTATATTAATATATAGGTATTAGGTACCTGTTATAATAAATATATATAGGTATAAGGTACATAGCAATAAATCAAGAATTAAGTATCATTTTATTTATAAATTATAATTTACAAGCTTTTTTCCTCGCTAAATAATCATCGATTTTTTTTAAAGTGATTAATGCGGTGTTATAGCCTATAATGGACAAATCTGAGGCCCCTAAATAAATGGAGGCCCGGGGGCCATGGCCCCCCCTGGACCCCCCCCCCCCCCCTTAATCCGGGCTTGTAGTGTGGGTGACGGACCGGTCGGATAGGGTGGCGAGTGAATTGGTGGTGTGGAGGCAATTACTCGTTGCCTCTATTTATAATATTATACTTAATTTAATAATAATAATACTTATTTTAGATTGCAATCAATACTTCATAGTTATACCAATTGTATAGCAGTTGTAAGAAACAATGTCTTAACCCGTTAAATTTGTAAACATAATAATATTGAAAATATAGTGTAAACGCATTAAATTCACAGCCCTGTTTACCACATTTTTCAATATTTGTATTATGTACCTACGTTGTGAATTTATCGCGAAAACGGTTTCCAATTCGCGATTGAAAGCGGAACAGGCGCTACCTTGTGGAAGTCATCAGAACTATTACAACGGGGAAGATGTGTATAGTACATGTACTGGTCTACAGTACCACACACGAAATACGAATTAATAAATAATTTATTGTAATTTATTGTAATATTATATGAATATTATATTATTAGTTGTATGATGTATGATCATAATTATCACCTTAATAGTAGTCCAAAAATACTAATTAATAATACCCATAAGGCTTGTTCTATTCCACAGTGTTAACCACAGTTCCACAGGTAGGAAATTAATACAATTAATTACATTTATTTTGTTGTAATTAAAAAAAAAAAAAAACAAAAAACTGTATATACATAAAAATTTAACTGAATGTTTATATTTTCATTTTCTATACACTGTATATTTTTTTATTTTTAAAACTATTTTATTAAGAGTTGTACAAAGGAAGTTAGCTACTCTAGTCACAATTAAATTATGGAGTACACAAATCGCCTGAGTTATTTTTGCAGTTTTTTCAGTTCTGTTTAGCATTTTATTTTCTAATACGTTAAACCTTTTTACCATAATTCCAAATGCACATGCGACTATTTTTCTCACACGGGATTGTCGATAGTTGTATATACCATAAACGTTTTTCGTTTGTTAAATTTCTACGAGGGAAATGTCTCATCAAAGTAGGTAAAAGTAGGTAAGCCTCATCGTCAACAAATACAAAAGGGAAATCTTCATTAATATTTTGATCAATTTTTTTTGGGTGCTGGGCGCTGGCAAATCTAATTTATTTTGAATTAATTGTCTACCAAATAAGGATTCTTTGAAAATCCCATTATCACTAGACCGACCATAATCTCCAACTTCTATTACAATAAACTTAGCGTGAGCGTCAACTACTGCTTGCAGTAGAAACTAGAAAGTAGACAAAGTAAACTAAGTAGAAACTAGAAAGTAGTAAGTAGACTAAACAGCACGGGCCTCGGCCACCGGGCGACCATGTTCCCCGTTAGCCTTATCATTAGTATCGACTAGTGCGCTACCTATATTTCCTTTCAATCGCGAGATTTAAGCTGCTGATTAAGTAATAAAAAGATTGTTATTATACTTACAAAATTATTGTTTTTATTTTCATGCAATCATGAATTATATTATATATTAGTTTACAATTATAAATAATCTTATTTGTGATCACTGATCAATGGTAGTGGGCAGAATGTAAAATACCTAACTTAGATTTACGTAGGTATATAAGTATTTACTTCGATCTTTTCTACTTTATTTAACTATAATATTTTCTACTTTTGAAGTATTCCTATATATTTAAATTATTTTATTATTAAAACAATAGTAAATTATATTCCAGTTTGAAATATATCTTTTTTTTTCCGGGGTTAAAATTAAAAAAAAAATCAACTTTATAATTTAGGTGGGCCTCAGTACACAATTTAGGAGCGGGCCCCGTTGGCATTTGCGAAGATTAAACGACAGTTAAATCCGCCACTGTAGAGGTCGTATAAACAATAATACAAAAACGAATAATATAATAATTTATTTTTGAATATAAAATAAAGGCGCGCGTTGCGTAAATGCGTAATGTTAATGCGCGATGCGCAAGTGATTTTAAGAACCCGGTATCACGGTTATACAGTCCATCTTAAACCGTGGTAACCAGTACTACCAGCCAACCGGGAATTGTATTAAAAAAGTATATTGCAGTCCGTTATTTCAACGCATGTTATAATGTGTTTTAAACTTTTAACTATCGGACTAAGGACGGATATGAGTGTTGTACCTATGTTTTTCGCAGAGTTCTATTGACAATCAATGGCGTCCAGTTAGTGTCTACGTTTAATCTCGTCCACCTACTTCGTATACTCGCCAGGCGTTCTGGTGTTTGACGATTTCTACAACTCATTTGGTTCAATCATACTTCAACTCTGCACCACACAAAATGGAAACATTACCGACAGAGGTACGTACGTGAAATACATATTTTATAATATAACTGTTGGTCCTCACTAGAGCTAATGTTATATTGCTGTCGTAGCAGTCTTGTAAGTTTTTGAGTTAATGTACCTATTTAAATACTTTTATAGTGTTTGGAATACTTTTTAATTACAGTCTTGGGCGTATTTGTATTTAAAAATCAAATATTTATTGGTAACTGTGTAAGTACTTTCAAAAATTCAGAAGAATATTCGTCACACTTCAGATTGTTTTTTGATAATAGTTATTTGTTGTACTATTTTAGTTTAATTAACATTTATTTGATCATTCATTTATTTTATATTTCATTAACAACCGTTTATCGTTTAATTAATATAATAATATTTATATTATTTTAGTAAGTGCCTACCTATTGTAGAACTAAAATATAACCAATTATTCATTTTCATTTTTCATTGTCAAGTATCAAGTAAAGTAGGTAGTTCAAAGTTCTAAATTCTAATGATATTAAATGTGACTTACAATTTCAAATGATTAATTACTATTTACTAATTACAAGATAATTGTTTTACCTACTGGCTACTAGTTTAAATAAAAAAGTATTTAAATAGGTACATGCCAAGTATTTGTATTTGTTTTTAAATGCGTTTGAATTGGATATATTTGTATGTGTATTTAAATGCAGTTTTAAAAATATTTATACAACTCTGTGTTGAAAGAATATAGTACTATATAGTTATATTTTTGTTTTTGATTTGCAGGTCATCACTCAAATACTAGAATACTTGCCATTTGATGATCGACGAGAACTGGCTAGGGTCAATAAATTGTTTTATCATGCTGCATCTCACCCAGTATTCTTAAGAAAAGAGTTTTTTAATTATGATCCATATCGAGACAATTTGAATGACTTAAACGATTTCAAAAATATGTTGTTGAAATCAAGAAGAAAATTGTTATGCTTAAGCTTTGTTCATTTAACTTATATACGCGATTTAACCATTTTCACAAACTTAGGGAATCGCATTATATCACTATGTTTTATTGATTTGGATTTGCTAAATGATTCATTTCTAGATGCTATTACACAATGCTGTAGTAATCTCGAAAAATTAGAACTTATACATGTGTCGCGTGTGGTTTTAACTGATAACGGCCGTAAACCAATACTCAAATTGTGCAGTATAACTTTAGATACAGTTAGAATAAATGATAGAAAGTTTAATCTAATTTTGAAACTTGCTCCAAATTTAAAAGATTTAAGTGTTCTTGATTGTGGTTTAATTGGTAAACGTGAAGTCATTGCAATGTTTTATCCCCACGACAGTAACTATATTGATTGTTCATTTACCAAGTACAATTCAAATACTATTTTTTCGGAGGATAATATTGTACACCATTTAAATAATTTTGTTCGCTTAAATAGCCTTGAGTTAAATGATGGTAGTAGTATATTTCTTCAGATTCAACCCATACAACTTGAGATTAAGTCATTGTCGTTGAATCTTGATCGATCAACCAACAATGATTTCAGCGACTATGAAAAGTTAAATTCAGTATTAGGTCAATATGTATTTTTAGAACGATTGGAAATACATTTCTTACCTGTTCGTATGTTATCAATTGTATCTAAACTATATAATCTTCGACATTTGACATTAACTTATTCTGCTAATGATTCAGATTACCTTGATTCTTGTAAATATCTTAAATCATTCGTGGAATCGTTAAAAAATCTGAAATATATCAGGACATTATCATTTTATAGAGCTTTTGATTTGATTAATCAACTTGAACTTCCAGTATATCCGTTTCTGGAATGCACACTGAAGTCTCTTACATCATTAGACTGTCCTCTGGATTCAAATCTAGGAGTACTAAAATTTGGTAAAAATTTAACAAATTTACGAATAAGAAATGGTAGTATTCTTAAAGTCGAAGATTTACAACTATTATTCAGAAACTTAACTTATTTAAAACATTTGTGTATTAACGATTGTTCTGTATTAAATGATGAAACTTTCATTAAACTGCCAATATCTAATCTGAAAGGTATATTCCTATTAAATATTAACTAAATGTTATTTTTTTAACCATATCTTTATATTTTCAGAATTGATTACTTTAAATCTATTACCATCAAATATTTCACACAGATGCTTGCGTCACATTAAAAATCCAAGATTAAAAGTTTTGAGTCTCATTGAAACTCAATTAGAACCGTGTTCAATAAGGTAATATTGTATTATGATTTGAATATTTGATCAAACAACAAGAGATTCATAATTATAATTATTTACATAACAATTTTCATAAAATATTTATTTATTAAAAATAATATTTTTCAATTAAAATGTATTATGAATGAAATATATAATTTGATTATAAAAATATGAAGGCATTTAATAAAATAAATAATATTTTAATTTACCAAAGCTTTGTTTTTGTTGCAGGCAGAATTAAATTAATTCAAACATAGTGCAGAAATGTTGAGTCGTGCTGTTCCTAAGTTAACTCAACTTGATATTCATGCAAATTGCAGAAGTATGGACACAATTGAAGAATCATTGGATAATTTAGTTTTAAGGTATTACTGACATATTTTGAGAGGCTGAAGATTTTGAAACTTGAGTAACTAATTTTATAGCAAATTTAAGGAGCATATTATTCAAAATATGCATGATTCATGTACATATAATTTATTATTATTTTAAGTTTTTAATTATTATATACAAGCAGTTTACTCGGAGGGTATTATGTTAGCTGTTTATAGCTATATAAGTTAATAATTGCATACTTATACATCATAAGAATAAACTTATAACTATTGCTGTACCAAAAAATCACAAATAGAAAAGATCTTATTAAAAAAAAAAAATTAGCTTATGAAGACTGGTAAGTGCTAATTCAAATCATATCTCCAAAAATGTAGCTGTTTTTTAGTTTTTCATTGATTTTTTAAATTGTTAATCAACTAAAATGTTTGTTTGCGATAAAATTACATACATGTTACATCAAATGAATGTAGTTTAGATAATGAGATGTTTGATTATTATTATTTATATTATGTGTTCTTAGCTCTTATCCATAAAAATGTTTTACTGTAAAAAATATATTTTAAGTATTTTGATGTTATTGGCATTATGTTGATTTCAAACATTAAGTTTGATTATTTATTGATGATTCTATGTAGTATCATTATAGTTTGTTATGAATTATTCTGTATGTAGAGTTATTGTATTGAATAGTTACAAGTAAAACTTGCTTACGTGTATAATATTGAGAATGTTTTTCTTTGTACTATGCTAAATGAGTACCTAGTTAATAGTAGTTACTATTTTAGTATCAAAATAAATACACGTAATATTAATTATTAGTATGTAATTATTAAATACTATGATCAGATACACACTATTTATTTTTTCCGTTTTCGTTATATCATTATCTATACTCATATAAATTTAAAGCAAGTTTTACTTAAAACTATTCAATACAATAACTCTACATACAGAATAGTGATTTCCAAAATTGAAGCCCTGCGATTTGAAGCGGAAAAGTATTTTAACATCAGCCACAGGATAATCAAAAAAAAAATCATGGATTACATTTACCGAAATCGCCAAACCGGGTACGTATTCGGACGAAATCACAGCGCTCACACCATAAAGATCCATTGTACAACATCGCTGCATTGCAGAATCAATGGTAAAAATTGGCAATAAGCAACAGTGTTCTCTCGTCATTGATTCCTTAAAGGCATACACAACCCAAAAAAAAAAAAAAAAAAATTAAACTTGGTTTTCATACTTAGTAGTATAAAAAAAAATATCATGAAAACAGAATGTGAAAAAAAAAATTATTCACAGAGTTAAGGCGAAATCAAAATATACCTGTGACGTCATTGCGTCGGACGTCTCCGCGCGGCACTGGCAGCCGGTCGCAACCACGATTTAAGATATACCTAATATCTTAAATCGTGGTCGCAACAAACCGTATGAAGTATACGTATAATAATATTCTCGTCGCCTGCCGATCGCTAATCGCCGATTATTTTTTTTTTATTTCCATAAATAGGTCCTTTAATTATTTATAAATTATAAATATAACACTATTCCTAAATACTTATAAATAATAAACGTCATTGCGTCGGCCGTTTCCAAGCGGCATCGGCAAACATATAAAAATTATTATTATTATCGTCGAATGTCGGGTGTCGACATGTCGACTGTTATTATTTTGTTGCAGATTCATGATGTGTTTCATTTTTATTTGCTATCATTTAATTTCGTATATAATACCAAGTGAAATTTAATAAATTTACATTATAAATCTCACTACTTATACACAGAATAATAATGTCTTTAATACCATTCAATTTTGATCCTGACATTTAAGGTATAGACCGCTACTTACAAGAAGATGATGACGATCCGGCTGTCAATTATGAAGGTAGATTAAATAATTCCAATTGGTGTTCTTGTGGATACTGTAAAGGAATGCTTAGTGACATCGATTGTTTATGCTGCAATGAGTTACCAAATTTAGAAAAAATACGAGAAGAAGAAGGGAAATGTATTACTTTACATCGATCATTTTCGAAACTAATATTGGATAAAGAAATACTAAATATTACTAGACACAATTTAATACTAAAAACTAAAAACAGAATTAATAAAAAAAAATTGGGTCAACATCATCCAGAAAATAAAACGTGGAGATTTATTTGTTATAAACAGTATACGTCTTGGGTCAATTCTTGGTTTGCAATGGGAAAAGGAAACCGAGTGGTTTTGCCTGCATGTGTTGTACAGAAAATAAGAGAAGAATATCCAGAACCAAATGGAATATACGTAGGATTCAAAAATTCAAAAAAATTACCGGCTTAATCAATCTGTATTACTAACAATATTGTGAACCAGAGTATAAAAATTATATAATATAAAAAAAATATAGTGTAATAATTTTTTTTTCCTTACAACATTGTAATTTATGAATTGTTATAATATAATAATTTTAATACTTTGTCAACATAGCACAATTTAAAAAAACAAAATGGTTATTTAATAATTAATATATATATAACATAAAAAAGATATTCAACTAATATTAAGAAACCGTGAATGATGGGAATTTCGCATTATTTCCAATGCAGGTCGATCAATAGGTGCGATGTTTTTAGGCAGAGTTACATTGAGTGGTGTTTTCAATGGTGACATTTCGACTCCGTTTAAATGATCCAGTATTAAGTTAATTATTTCATCTCTCCAATTATTTGTACCTTTTTCATAAATATTTTTAGTAACCCATTTTCCAGTAGGTTTAGAAAATAAATAATTTAAACCTATTTTTTTTTTATTTAAATTGGAATTATGGTCAATTATAGCAATTATTGATTTTATGTACATCGCTTTAAAAGAAAAATGAACACGTTTTGGAACATATTTTAATCTTAAATTATGGTAAGACTCTAATCTTCCCGTGTGTACATAATTTTTTGTTTGCTTTAAATCTGTCAAAAACTTTTTGTTGCAAATTATTTCTTTTAATAGTTCATAAGGTTTAGAATCAGGAAGTAACCATAGTTTTTTTTTTTTGTACTCATCACTTAATGGTGGATGTTCACAAGTTTTTTTTAATCCATCCTCTTCCCATTCATGAACGTTTTTAATATGTTTCAATATAGATGTAAATTTTGTGACTAATACTTCAGAATCGCCATTGCATGTTTGTGCCGACCACCATAAATGATTACTTATGGATTGCTTCCATGCCAAAACTTCTTCGTATTTTTTATTAATTGTTTTAAATTTTTTCATTAGGCTTTTAGATAAATGCCATAAATCAAATTCATGTGTGATTTCTGGGTAAGATGTTTTCAACAAATGCCTTATTCCTACATGGCGGTCGGTTAATAATAAATCAATTTTGCATTTATCGGTACCTATTAATTTATCAATTAATTGTTTACAAGCATTTTTTTCTAAATCTCCCGGCATCATTTTTTTTGAATTAATTGAAAATCTACTATACAACCAGAATTAATGTCCATAAAAGTATAAGTACAATATTTGGCACAAAAACCAGGTGAATCGTACTGACCATCTCCAGCAATCCATAACTGTCCACTTTCCTTGACATAATTCATCTGTTCTGTTCTCTTTTTCTCCCATATTTTTTCGATTAGAGGGTAAGAATATTTATTCATAATTTTATCGTATGTTGTTCTACTAAACATTACAAGTTTTAAACTTGAACAAAATACTTTAAACGTAGCAAATAAAGTACCAGATAAAAGTATAGATGTAGCAATATGTACGTGACCCTTAGAAAATTGTTTATTAACAGGCTGTGAAAACCATTTTGATGAGTGACCTTCGCTACATTCTGATCTTACACATATTGTTGCACCAATTGCGTACCATTTTTTATTTATTATTTTACTTTTACAAATATTACAAACTGTAAACAGTGTTAGTAATGAATTAATAAATACTAAACAATATTTTATTTCGGTATTTTCAACATTATCAAATTCTTCAGTGTAGTCTTCCTCCTCATTTTCACACTCAAAATCGGGATCATCATAAAAATCATTATCTGTATATGACGCGTTTTCTTCTACATCACTTATATTATCCTCCGTACAACTTAACTTTACCTCCTTTTTATTATGTTCATATGAATCAACATTTGATTTTTTAGCGATTAAACTCTCAACCATATCTTTTTTTTCTTGATTTTTTATTCTTTCAGAACGGGGTTTTTTAGTTGTTGCATTACCATCGCTATTTTTATCATTATTTATTACAAATATTGTTGGTACCGTACCTGGTTTTAAGCGGGGTGATCTTAACTTGTATTTGTCTCCCAATAATTTTTGTTTTAAAATGTCTGAGTCATCAAAATCTTGACTTTTAAAATGATGAGAACATATCACAGAATTATTAGTTGGTTTAAAAAGTTTACGCTTGCAAAAATTGGTCCATTTATTAAAACGCACAGGTGAATTATCGTGATTAGGAAATCTATGGGTTCCTTTATTGTTACTACAACCAAATACACTACAATACGGCATTATTTTCTTCGAATATTAAGTATTAGAGTATATTATATTTTTGCAGTACACACTACACATACGGAACAAAAATGATATAACGCGACGCACTAGTACACTACATACCGACTAGGCGAAAAGTGAATACTGACGAATTGGTTAAAATTGTTCGGTCAACAGAAAGTCTTGAGTATCATTTATAAGTATTTAGGAATAGTGTTATATTTATAATTTATAAATAATTAAGGACCTATTTATGGAAATAAAAAAAAAATAATTGGCGATTAGCGATCGGCAGGCGACGAGAATATTATTATACGTATTCTTCATACGGTTTGTTGCGACCGGCTGCCAGTGCCGCGCGGAGACGTCCGACGCAATGACGTCACAGGTATATTTTGATTTCGCCTTAACTCTGTGAATAATTTTTTTTTTCACATTCTGTTTTCATGATATTTTTTTTTATACTACTAAGTATGAAAACCAAGTTTAATTTTTTTTTTTTTTTTTGGGTTGTTTATGCCTTTAACGGAATTGTTCACCGGAGTATTGTTGAAAACCGAACTGTTACTTTTTGAGCACCAGCCGTTGAGCGAGTTGTCAAAGGTGGATGATTTGAAACAACGTAAGCTGTTGCTTGGCTCTTGGTTATTTGAAAAGAAACTAAAAAATTTGTATACTGGTTTTGTCGAAGCTCTAAGTGTTGGTTTGGACTTTGTACCGGCAAATCATGAAAAAAGTATTTCAGCTATGTACAAACTATTAATCAATAGCACTGAATGTGAAATGTAGATTGTTAAATACCTCGTGAATAAATTTGGTGATACAGTACATATGGTCGCGTCAAAAGCTATGTATACATTGCAGCTTGTTTTAAACTTCGATCAAATCTTAATCTAACTTTTTTGAAGAAGTTAGAAAATTACTATTTCGTTCAAAGAGCTCAATACTATGGTATTTGTTTTTTAACATTGGTGCCAAAATAGACCATTCTCCAGTCACTGGAAATCCAGTCATTCAAGTCTCGAAGATGTCGTTTAGTGCGAGTACACCCTCCCACAATATATATCAAACCTAATTGTAATTAGTTTCAATACATTATTAAATCATTATTTTTAACACCTTCAAATGACATGACTCCCATACTAAATTGCGGTTCAGGTAGCACACATGTTATACATGGTCCATCGGTTTAATGATGGGGAATAGCTAGACAAAAGTTAATCTTAATAATTTTAATAAAACTCACATTTCAATAGAACCACCTATGTCATCTCCAACCCATCCACCAATTACATACAAATATCCATTTAATGCAGTCATTCCAAATTCACATCGTGGAACAGTCATTCCAGCAACAGAAGTCCATTCGTCCTCAATAGGATTATAACATTCCCCATTTCAAAGGATAAGTGATTTGTTTACGCCTCCAACAACATAATATATACATCCGTTCAATAAAGTTACTCCGGGCATTATTCTACCAATATTCATTGGTTTTGTACCACACCATTACCTAAAATATAAAATTCAAATACATCAAACATGAGCTGAAAAAAGTTTAAAGTCACTTACTTCCTATGAGTGTTGAATTCAACAACAGATTCAAACGTAGACTCAGAATATCGAGACCAGGCACTACATATTTCTCTTTTAGACCCGCCTAGTATATATATATATATATATATATATATATATCTTTTTTGGCTCCTAACCGTGGTTCAACTTGGAAACCTACTAAATTACCAATACGTTCGGCTATGTCTGTATAAATAGAATGTAAAGAAACTCTTAAGCTTGCATCTGTATTGTCATTAATTTCACGTTCTAAAAACTGGGTACTCATTAAAGGTATACATGTAAGAATTTCAAATATGTAGCGACGTCGGTCTGAGAGATCGTGTTTAATCCATTTCATAGCTGCACAAAATTCCTAAATGAAAATTAAACTTAGTATACTAATTACTAATAAATATAATGATTAAGACCAAAACAAATTATTAACCTGTTGTTCAGAATCTACACAAAGATATTCACTGTTGGAGAAACTTAATAAATTGATCTTTAGACAAATCACCCAATTCATCTTCACAAATTTGAATAAAATTTCCATATATAAAATCTTTTGATAATTTGTGCAAAACAGTAAAATTGTGCATATCAGCAAACCTTTTTATAAATAATATGTAATATAACTTGATAAACTTATATAACAATTTAATAGGTATTAAATTATTTTTAATCTTTACCTAATTAATCCAACAGCATTAGTTGAATCTAATTCACTTTTCAAGAATTCTGTACAACATTTACTTACAGCATCATCAAGTTTTAACATAACTGCTGCTATCATTAGTTCTTCTACATTTTCTTGATAAATATTTATTTCTCCTTAAATTATAAGCATTGAATTAATTATTATATTATGTTTTATAAGTGTTTCTTTTTACCTGAATAAACACAATTATCAAGTGTTTCAAGTACATTGGGAGAAATTGAAGGAAGATCAATAGATTTTTTACCAGCTTCCAATAATCTGTTAGTAAACAGCATAAATATGGACTGCTAGCAGCCAGAATTGCTCTATGCCTATAAAAATGTTTGAATTTATTTAAGTAAATTTGTTAATGTGCAAATATATCTTAAAAGTTAAAATCAAAATAAAATAGTTGGTTAAATGTTTTTATACATTAATGCAAAATCCTTTGGAAACAATTTGCACATCACAGAAAACACTATTCTTTCTCAAACTATTTAATCCTCTCAAAAATGCTTCAATATGTGGCTTTGAAAAATACTTGTTAGGAACATGCAAGGGGGCCACATTGCATCTTTTTCTTCTTCAGCTGGTGCGTGCCATTAAGGATAGTATATCACATCAATAAACTAAAGGTTTAAGAAACTATAGTTAAATTCATAAATATAAACACAATTCAAGTAATTTAAAAAAAATTCGAAAAACATCTAAAGGCTATAAATAGCTCCAAAAAAAGTAAAAATATTTCGTAAATGTTATCATAAATGAACAATTGTATTTGGTGAATATTTCAAGTGAATAAGTTTTTGATTTACACCCACAACTGTGGGTTTTTGTATAGAAAGGTATACATCTATCTTCAACCGTGGGTGGTGGCCGGTGGGTTAGACCACGGCTTTAGATAGAATATCTATATCTAAAGCCGTGGGTTAGACCAAAAATATAAAATCGATTTAAAAAAAAAAAATGCTGTGGCTGTTATCTCTTCCTAGATTATGTTATCACATATGTTATATAAATTGATAAGCACTAGTCTGAAAAATTTTACGGATACAATAAATGATAATAAATAATAATTATTAATTAATAAATATTAAATAATTATTATTCCGTAAATAACATAAATGTTGATATTAAATTATTCATTACATCAGTAGTCACTAGTCATTACGACAAAATAAATATTAGGAAGTTTCTGCGGTCAGTTGCTTACTCGCTTAAGAACTAAGAACCGTTTCGAAAACATCAACAATCAAAATGAATATATTGCCAAAAAAGAGGTAAGTGAATTACAATATTATAATCAATAGACAACCATTTGTCCATCTGTTTTAAATAAAAACAATTATTGTGTGATCTAGCCAGTACATTGATCTTATTTTACTGTAATTAAAAATAATCAAACTATTTGGAGTGATATTCTTGAATTCTGATACATGTTAAGTAGTAACAAAATGTCAAAATTCAAGAATATCACTCCAAATAGTTTGATTATTTTTAATAACAGTAAAATAAGATCAATGTACCGGCTAGATCACACAATAATTGTTTTTATTTAAAACAGATACCAAATTGTATTCCAATATAATATTTTGAATCGATTAGAAAAAAAAGTTAATAAGTTGGTGAAACAATTAAAAGACTGTATTATGTTAGAATAATATTAAATTAGTAAAACAAGATAATGTCTCTTTAAACATTAAATGGTAGGTTTTATAATAAGAAAACAAAGTATAAGATTTTATGATATACTTATCACTAGGGTCCGTATTTCAATACAAAAAGAAACTTTTTTTGGTTGATCTTGGACAACGATTTCCAAGTACAAAATTTGTTTCATGAAACAGATACTCCAAATGTGAAACTTTTATTTGCATTTTTTTGTACTATTCGGTAATTTTGTTAGTTTTAATCCATATTTGAATAACATACGACTACTTTAATCATTTTGTATGTCAATTTTAAGGTCATTATTGGAGTAAAATAAATTGTTTATGGACTTTTTTAGAGCATTTAAAATCCGGGCCCTACTTATCAAGTCATAATCTTATTGTCCTAGCCCAATTATAAAGTATTTTTAAAACCAGTATTTTTTTATTATGAATATGATGCATTCCTCAATATTCTTAAAATATAATTTAATAATATAATCATTAAACATACCTTATTAATATTATTATAGGTGGCATGTCCGAACCAAAGATAACATTGCGCGTGTTAGGCGCGATGAAGCACAAGCCGCTGAAGAAGAGAAGAAACTTAAGATGAGGATACAGTTAGCTGTAAGTAGCTAAAAAATAAGTTTGATTATAATTTGTCATTAAAAACAAAGTATCATGCATTACATTTGAAAAGTGAAAACTATCTTATACAAAATAAGGAGGTCATAGTTGTGCGCACGGGACTTAACCGGAATCTTTTTAGGGCATACTAAAATTTATATAATATATATTTATTATAATAATATGTTTGAACATTCTATTTGTCGTAAATTGGGATAGTGAAAAAAAATTTAAAATATTTGTGTATCCCACTACATAAATTTTATTCGTCTAACGGTCTAACAAAAACATTGTGTACAAAATATGTACTATGACTAAAAACATTAATAGGTTGGTTATACACATAGACATCGTTTTATACATAGCTACCGATGGTAAATCAGATACAAATAAATAATAATGAATCTATCCATTCGTTGCTTGATTATATAAAAATTAATAATTACATAAACTAATTTAATGGATTTTTCACTGTACTGAATTTTTTTTGAGTGACCAGTGTCCCTATTATCTGTTACAAGTTGTTCCTGTGAACAGGTATTTCCAAAATTAACAATAGTAAAAAATAAATTAAGGAGTACTAACTATGCACCAAGACCGAATTAATAGTTTATTATGGCTGTCATATAGTATGCGGTCTACCGGTGAATTGACAAGTATAGTATGCGGTCTACCTGCGATTTACCAATATAGTATGCGGTCTACCACAAATAAATAAGGTATCAATTATATCATAATATTATAGTTTAATTGTTGTGAAAAATGATGAATATTGTGCATTATTGTGCATTAAATAATTAAAACAATATAATTAAAAATTTGTTTGTCAAAAATATTGTTGTCAAAAAAAAATATATACCTAATAATAATAATAATTTATAAAAAAAAATTATGTTGTTCATATTACAAAAACTTCAGCAATATCTCTCAAAAATGCATTAAATAAATCCTATTTATTTATTTATTGGATAAACCTTGAGTCCAGTAGAACACCAGTTCTAACTGTTGACTGAGGCTTAGTCCACTATTTAGATGACCATTTTTGTCAATAAACGTCCAAAATGCATTATCCTTCCTATAATATTATACACAATTATGATAATATATAACAATATAATTTTCTCACCTTAAGCTTTGTGTGATTTGACATCACTTTCTCTTACAACGTAAAACCCTCCTTTCTTCACCTCTCTCCTTACGTAGGTATAAATTCATATCACATCTACACTTGACACATTGGGCATTTTCATTATTTGTCAATTAAAAAATCTGTGGTTGATTCTTCACTACTTATAATTAAATAAAAATCTTTTGCCAACATATTATTAAGTGTATAAATTGAGGTGTGTTGGTTAAATGGGGGTTACGTGACACCCTGCAGAGCTAACGAGCCCATACTTTTACAAAATGTTGAAGTATTGTTATCTGTGTATAAGGCCATAAAGATAAAGTGTTCACGGAAGAAAAAGATTGTAACTGTATCTATTAAAAATAAACTTAGGCCTGTCTAAAAAGCGGCCGGTCGCAGGTAGACCGCAACCTTCAGCGGCCTACCGGCCGGTAGAACATGTACGTCGGTAGACCGCATACTATATGACAGCCATTATTATTAGGTAATGTTTACTGAACGAAAAGCAACATTTAGTATTAACATTGACATGGTGACTGACAAATTCAAAATTATGGAAAATATAAGAATTAATTTAAAGTTTTTCTTTAATTATAATTATTCCATACTTACACAATTATACATTACTAAAATTATATGTAGATACATATTATGCATTATGTAGGTATCTTATAATATACATACACAATTTTTGTTTATTAAACCAATTTGGTTAATGTGTTTTCTTCTTTTTATACATAATGGTATTTTTGTATTTATATCATTTGATTTTAAAGAATTTAAAATTGTATTTTTAACTTCAAAAATATATGTCTAGAAATTAGCACATTAATGTTGTGTGCACATACAACTTGATTATATTTATACATATAAATATCACACAGTTATTAATTTACAATTAGAATGTATGTTGATGTGTTAAAAAAAACGGGGGCTCTGTCCCAGTATTGGTAGTTGGGACACTAATTATTCCAGTATAGACCGAAAATTAAAATTTGCGCACGCCTATGAAGGAGGTATCGACCTAACTCTAATTTTCATTCATAGATATCTTATTTAATCTGTAGGTTTTACAATTTTAGTAATGTAATTATCTTAAAATTCAATTCTACATTATCACATTACATATTTATTACTATAAAGGATAAATATAGGTAATCTTTAAAATACCTATAATAATTTTAATATTATGAACAATTTGTAAATGCATATTAATAATACTTATGTTTTACATTAGGAGCAAGAAACAAAACTTTCATTGCTGAGAAATAGGTCAAAACAAAGATATGATGACTCTGGAGACCGACCCGAAGAAACTAAACCTGAAGTGTTAAGTCATGTTAATTTTTTCCAAGACCTGGAAGATGGGCATGTTGCTCATACAGGTGTTAACAAAGAACACGAACAGGAAAAAAAGGAAGAAAAAGAAGCATATGAAAAAAAAGTTGGTTATCTTACTTATTTAGGACAGGACACAGATGAGGTGACTGGCAATGTACAATGGTATAACAAGAAACCAAAACGATTAGACTTGTGTGAAACTGACAAAGAAATTGAAACAAAAGTTAAAACATTTAATGATCCACTTATTGTCATGAAGAAATATGTTGAAACGGATCAAAAAGGCAGTAATCATTCAAAAGAATTGATAAAAAAAAAGGATGAATTACCTATAAAAAAACATAAGAAAAAACATAAGAAAAAAGAAAAGAAAAAGGAAAAAGTTAATGACAAAAACAAAAGTAAATTAATTTTGGAAAAACTTAGAGAAAAGAGATTAAAGAGAGAAAGGGAAGAGAGGTTTAGAGCCAGTCAATTATTGGCAAGAATAAATGGAGTCGTACCTGTCGAAGTTTCAAAACCACAACCAAAACCGGCTATTGTC